AGAGAGAGAGAGAAGAGAGAATACCGTATATAATCCAAATATTAGAGAGAGAAGTATGATATTATGACGATTGATTGTAGTAATTGATAATGTAATATGCATTCAAAGACGTGAAGAAAGAAAGAGACAGAGACAGAGGACAGAGACAGGAGACAGCAGAAGAGAAAGCAAGAAAAGAGAACGAAATAATATGCAGAACGTAATAAATATGAAAAAGCCTTGAATTATTGGTAGCAACGGAAGTAAAATAATTCTCTTCTCTCTCGTCACCTTGCGTCTGCCCCGTCCTAAGCATCGGCACAATACGAGCCACGATCGTGCAGTACACACACGTTACACGTTGTTCTCGTCTCTGTGCTCTGTTTCTTCTATTCATACTTATTCTAACGCTTGCAAACGCTGACCAGTAAAACAATCATGACGATGACACAATCTCCTTGATACTGCTCTCCAATCATCTTGCTCTTTCCGTCACGCATATATCTACGTGCGTGCTACAGTCTCCTTCTCTTCTTTGCTCTTCATCTACACATCATACACATTTCATCTGTCTCTTCTACTCTTTTCTGCGATCACCTACACACACCAAATAACCACCTGACATTCCTCCTACATACACCACCGCACAGCGAGACAGCGAGATGCATCGTATCTCATCATCTATCGATCTATCTACTCACTGCGTAGACGTACACTCTCATGTGCATATATGCGACTGCATCACAGTATCTCTTCATCGTTCCTCTGTTATATTTCTCTTTCGTTTCTCTCTCTCTTCTGCTCTCTCTCTCTACTCTGAAACATCGATCCTCGAGTCAACGTCACTCTGCTTCTCTCTCGATGCACAACACTCCTCACGTATGCTCACTCTCTGCATCTCTACACTCTACGCGATAGTATGCTATATCGTGTGACGTCACGCGAACATGACTCTCTCTCTCTCTCTCTCTCTCTCCTCTCTCTGCTCTTCTCTCCTCTGCTCTCTCTCGATAAAGCAGCACGATAGCGATCAGTACTCCACCCTTCGGAAGACCTGTCACGCTCATCCGACTGATCTCATATCCTCTCTGACTCGTAGATGCGTGAGCAGTAGCGATCGTACGCACATCAGTGCAGCGTCCGTACTGCATGCTAGACGTCAGTCTCTCTCTCTCCGTATCGATGCGATGTACGTCTACGGATTACGTACGAGATCTCTCTCGATCGTAACGAGAGACGAGCATGCATCTCTCTCTCTCATGCAATGCATAATCTCTAACATCGCTCCTTTTCCTCTTCCTCTACCCACTCATACTTCTCTCGTGCTCAAAGTTCACTATTTTACACTTTCCTTCTCTTTCTCTCTCTCTCTCTCTTTCTTCCCTCCCGCCTATACTATTATTATTGAGCCTTCCAGCGAGTATGACCACACCGCGCCCCCACACACATGTCTCTAGTCTCTACAGCTCAATTATGACTGAGTCAAATTACAATACGATTTTACTCTACCTTCCCCTCCCTTTCAGTAATATTATGCAAGAATATATATTAAAATGCTCAGAGTATTACTCAATCATATTCTCACTATTGTAAAAACGCCCTCCTACCCACAAGTCTTGCACACACACACCACTTCAGGCTCTGACTACTTATTAGTTCCATGAGATATGGACACAAAGTATACAGCTGCCTTTCTAATATCTTTTAATTTTATTATGCTCTCAATCGAGCCCTTCTAAAAAATAGAGTCGTGTTTCATAATACGACAAATGATTAGTGAATAACCGATAAAAAATACCCCGAACAATCCACCGTGTGCAGTGAGGTAGAGATAAAAAATAGACGAAAGAGAAAATGATATGAACTAAGTAGGTGAATATCGATGCGCCTACGTGCGACACATAGACGTAAGCCTCTATGTGTGAACAAGAGAGACCATCGGTCGCGGTTTCGACTCAGTATTGCAATAACAAAGTGCCTAATTTGCCCTTGCTGATATTGAGTCAAATAACAGGAAATACATAATATAGTAAATTAATTGCATTATTCCCTATTCTAATTATGTGCAATTGTTATTGAATCATAATTGTAAATATAAGAGTATAATGAACGGAATATCTTCAGCTAAACAATACAATAAGATGTAAATCTATACTATACTCTCTTTCTATATATTACTCTCTCTGCTCTCTCTCTTCTCTCTCCTCTCTCTCTCTCTCTCTCTCTCTCTTCTCTTATTATATATATATAATTAATATATATATATATATATATATATATATATATATTCGAGACCATTACTTATTCGACATCCTAAATGGCTCATTGGTTCTAATTTCATAATATCACATTCTGAATATATTTGTTTACATATTTTATATTCCAAAGGCATGTCAATACAGTAAATTTTAGTGTTATAACAAATAAAGTAATTATGATAATCATTTATAGATGTTTTGTTTCAATATTGATAATTAATCTGGGGGAAAGCAATAATTTCGTTACTTTAACAATTTTTTTTGTCAGACGAGTCGTTGCTCTCCTCCTGTATACAGATAGGTTCAGTGCAAGGGTTTTACTCTGATATTTGAAGTTGAAATGATAAGTGGATTAACATAATTATGTAATGCCTATGTATTCCATATAATTCAGCCGACTCGTTGTTCTCCTCCTGTATGCAGAGAGAGAAACAAGAAAAGGATGAGAAAGCACAGTGAAAACAACACCCACAATGTTTTGTCCTAGAGAATATTCATTCATTATTTTTGTTATTTTAATAGCTGTCAGGTGACAATTCTGGTGGTATCAGTGAATAGATGAGAATGAAATTATTATTAGAGTGATGCGTAAGAGAGGGGAAAATTGTGAAGATTAAAGGAAGGGAACGATTATCATGTCCAAATAAAATCATGGAAAGAACACATAGACTGGGAGTGAGGGTCTCGATTTCGTCTCATGTATATTTTCATTTTGTTTATTATAATGTATTTTTTTTATTTGTAATTAGTAGGAAAAGGGAGGGTATATAGTTACCCTCAGAGAATATTGCTTGTTTAGATTGCTTAAGAATATTGCTTGCTTAAATGATGAATTCCACCTGTTTATTATGTATTCTATTCATTTAATGAAATATTAATGGTTTAAAATATTTCCATGACCGTTACAATATTTGGCACACGATTCAACCACCACAGGAATTTGAATTTAGAAGTAGGTAATAATATATATAAAATTATACTTATTATCAATATATATGTATAAATATATATATATTATAATATATAATTAATACTATAATATATATGTATATGCATATATATACTTATACTTATATATTATATATGATATTATATATATATATATATATTTGTATATTTATACTAGTTTGATATGTGTGTGATGATGTGCAGTATATATATAGTATGATATATATAATATATATACTATAATTCAATATTTTACGTTTATACTTAATATATCTAATCTATATATATATTGTTGATGTCTTCGTTTCAGATTAATACTATATACACTATATAATATATACACTACTGAACATTAATATTTATATATACATATAATGAGTATATATATATATATCTGACTTATTATACAGTAATATATATTGATATCACTATGGTATTATTTCCTATTATTACTGATTTATAATATACACAAATATTATAATTAGATTGTACTTCTAAATAGCCACACTGTCTCT